GTTGGGTGTGGGGTGTGGGTGTAGGGTTGGGTGTGGGGTGTGGGTGTGTGTGTAGGGTTGGGTGCTGCTGCGTGTGGTCAAGGTTGTGTAACATTAAGAGAAACACACCCACACCCACACCCACATGCACAAGCACACCCACACATACATCCACAAGCACACCCAAGCTCACATGCACAAACACACGGCACACCCACCCTCACCCACACCCTTCTGCGGTATTTCTAGAGAAAAATTTCTTGAAAAAATTTCTTGAAAGATAGCACATGTCTGTATCAAAATGTGGGCTATGGAGTTGGAATTCTGGGGTGTCCTAAGAGACAAGTTGGGGTAGTTGTATGAACTATAAGAGAGACTTTGGGTATTCCTGTTGAGAGGGGTCATCTTTTTAGTCTTTGCTAACGGATCTTTTTCATTACAACTCGAACAATATAGATGTGCGTGGTTGTTCGTATATGTAAGTCTTCAAGATGTCAGTAATACCCTTAAATAATCAATTTCAAAACTTTCAACTGAAATGCAATCGTCTAACATTAAATCTGTTTTTTCTATTCATATTACAGTTACTTACCGATTAATAACCACTGTTGGGTAAAAGTAATAAATTCTTTCAATGAATAACCAATGATATATTCGATAACTGATAAAATACTACATCAGACTATAGTTTATATAGGTATTTCAATATTCTGCTTTGACGTTTGACTTGCATCATACATTTCATCATCTTTACTCACTGAGAGAAATTTATAAGCGATAACTTCATATTTTAAAAGAAAAAGTAATGATACTTTTATTACTATGTCAATAAAAATAAGTGAATCATAGATGAAGAAAAGTGACTGTCAATATATTATGTCGTCAATAATGTTTCAACCATCTTAAATCATAACAGTTCACCACAATCAGAGTCGTTCTTCTCTTACTATTCATACATATTTAGAGTGTGGCTGTGGCTGTGGTGGTTTCACTTCTTTTAACGCCCGTCCCTACACCCACACCCACACTCTAGATCGGTTGTGTCACCTTATCTTGACTTTCACAAAACACACTAAAAGAGCTAACTCTAATTTTTGCGATAAAGTAAAGCCGATAGTCTTTTTTTATCGGATAAAGTAAAGTAGATAGATTTAATCCAGTAAAGTAAAATAATCTACTATATTTAAATGATTAACGTAAAGCGATACTTTACTTGTTCAAGATGAAACAAAAATAAACTGTTATCTTGAGAGTGGATTAACTGTACAAAGTGAAGATTGATTCGAAAAAACATGTATCGAAGTTTTGGGTGTGGGTGTGGGTGTGGGTGGGTGGGTGGGTGCGTGTGTGGGTGTGTGGGTGTGGGTGTGGGTGCGTATGTGGGTGGGTGGGTGGGTGGGTGTGGGGTGTGTGGGTGTGGGTGTGCGTCTTTATTCACACCCACACCTACATCCACACCCCACCCACGCCCACACCCACACCCAATATTCGTTTGATTATTAATAAATATAATCTTAATCAATTCTTATATTTTGGTAAATGGATATGACTAATAAATGCATGTCATCATTTGAAGAAAATAACAATACAGATAATGAGCAATATTCAACAAGATTAACAATTAGTGATTGGATTTCATTATTTTTATTTATATAGGGTCTTCCAAAGGTAGATAGAAAAAGAATGTAAATATCTTTGTTATTGTTTCACTAAACTTCATGGTTCTTTTATATATTGAACAAATGAATGTTCCAAGTTTTTTTTGTGTATATTCGAAAAATTTGTTTTAAGGCTTGTACAAAACAATCAAGTTTATTATGATGAAATCTAGATTTTTGGGAACTCTTTTTTAAAATAAATAATGTATTGTTATTAATGTTTATTCAGTTAGTTGTGAAGCTGATAATGTTCCACAATCATAAAAGTAGAATGAATAGAATACTAGAAGCTGATAATTTTATCATTTTGAGAGTCTGTATTTCAGTACGACAGATCAATATGACCTTTCGAACATATTTGTTGCTCGTTGTTTTTATTGACATCTAGAACAGGAAAAATTCATTTATGATTGCATGAAGAATGTCTACATTCGAACAAGTTCCATTGTAAATAAAATACAGTATTTATTTTATACATGCTTTGTTTGTGCTATTGAACGATATTTTTCTGCGAAGTCTTTCAACTGTATGATCGTCCAAAATTGTCTAAAAAAAACATTCATTCCGATAAAGACATCAATTTGCTTCACAATTAAAAAAATTAGATAAATCTTTTCTTTTTCTATTGTGATTTCTCGTCCTTCGATGTATCATTATTTGTCAAACAGTCTTATCCCTATTCTGATCCTCATCCTCAAGAGAAGAGTATAGACTACAAATTTATCTTATTTCAGTAACTAACAGTTAGAGTAAAAAAAATGCTACAAGTCGAAAACTCTTCAAAATTCAAGCAATGCACCCTTTTCGGATAACTGGTATTCTTGACTTTTTTTGCACGTTACAAGAGATCTTACAGTTCGCTTATCAAGAGATATAAATCTTGTCAAGATACATCTTTTGACATAAAATTTTCTATGGTAAAAATTTCTGAAATCAATTAGTATGGATCATATTGTGGTCTACATTACCTAATAATCATCCATCTTACTTTTCAATATCATCTAGTTTCTTGCGGAATTAAAAATCTGACTTCATTCGTGTTCAGCATACGAATCTAGGTCAGATAAGCTACTTTAAAGTGATCTTTCACTCATACGAAGCGCGATCAAGATCGTGGATGTACCTTATGGATATATGATAGGTAGAGGGATAGTTTCACCGAAAGGGAAAACAGGTGAACTTTTTTGAAAGTTAAATTATAAAGTATGTTACTTTACCTTTACCTACTTTATCAAACTAAATTTAAAGCTAAAGTATCGCATCTGTATAGTTCCAATATAGCAAAAAATATCGAAGACTTGAAAAGTTCAATATATTCTAAAAATAGATGTATTCTGATAGATCATCATTTCAAAAGATCCATCAGTTAAAACGCTTTAAATCTTTTGAAAAATAGAAAATAACGAGTTTATACTTTAATGTAACAAAATCAGTCCAATGATAACTTGAAAAAATATAATTCCTTTAAGATCTTGTCAATTTGAATATGAATTCAACCTGATGCGCAACAAACATAGTTCATTTTTTTGCATGATGTTGATACTGTTATTATTTTATGCAACAATGTGCTTATTCTTTCAAAATAGCTTTCAGTACTTACTCTTTATTTATACATCAGTGCTCGTTGACGACAAAGAAATTTATGAAAAGAGAAGAGTAATCAAACAGAGTGTGGGTGTGGGTCCACAGAGCATTAACATTCACACCCACACCTTTTTGGTTTTCAACCATTTTTCGCTTCAATGTTTCCCATCAGTTCTGGAAAGACAATCGAAATCAATGAAATTCTACCATCTTCTTGTCCGTTTTATAATTTTGCTTGTGTGTTAACAAACAAAACATTGAGATGAAATTTGTAGGTCACCATAAGAGTGTGGTACCCTTTTCATTTTCGGATGCATTTTTATGAAAGAAAGAGAAATAGTTCACCAGAACGACAGGAAGTTTTTTTTCTTATCAAATATCTACAATGAATATTTGGTTGTACTGTCTAGAAAACAGCGATGAAGTTCGGATAGTTAAGTAGCAAACTTTCACATGATTTATTCAAATTCTTGGATATCGTTTTTCTTCATGCTTTTCATTTTGACTTCCGATTTATATCGAAATCTGATTTTGACAATATCTGTCGACAATATCTTTAGACCGCTATTGATCGAGTTATTTCACATTATCTAAAAACTTTTGTTGAGGGCGAAGGTCATCACCTCTATCGATTGCAATGAAATTCAAATTGAACCACGATTTTAACATTATTAGATGACGAACGTTTTCATATGAATTTTTATTATTTTTATGACTTGATGGATGTGTTTTCTAAAGAAAATACATAACACATAATCCATGGTTATTGAGTTGTATATCATTCAATAAAGAAAAGAAAGAGCTTTCATTTGATATTTGGTATGACCATAAAGACTTGAGAGAAGAAAGACAAAGCTTCTCAAAAAGACTGCGTATCATAGCCAGGCAATTCATATATAGCATCGAACTTTTGAACTCCTAGAGTGCACTGTAACGGTTTAATTTCAAAGTTAATAATGCCACCACATTAAAAATTGATTATTGGCGAAATCAAAATTCTGATTTAGGAAGAGGATCAATTTCATGGTTTTGTGACCTCCATTCTTATGCTTTATTAAAATGAAAAAAA